TTTGAGAGTGTTTTGGATATGCAAAACAATGTGTGGTGGCGTAGAAGGAAGTAATAGTAAAATTTTTCGAGTTTTCAATGTATGCGGAAAATAAATGTATTATTTTAGTTGGAAACTTGCGTCTACAGGAAATTCTGATGGATCTTTTATTCCTCTAACAATTTCGACTGTCTTCAAATGGAATTTAAAATCTGTGATAATCTGTCGAGAGCAATAAGTGTTAATAGTGTTTGTAAATACGGTTATTCAGGCTATTGGATATATTTTCTACTTGGCCCATTTTTTTTTTGGTCAGATTCTTACTGGTAAAACTTTGGCTGAAATATTCATTCGATAAAATTTTTTTTCTAATTTCAGTCAATTTGCTAATTTCTTCACATATCGAAGAAATCAGCAAATCAACCGAAATTAGTTGACTGCGAAAGAAGCTAATAAATGGAGCAAAACTGCATTGTTTTCACAAATTCGGAAGTTGAAATCGTTTGAGAGTTCGAACGTTACACACAAAAGAGTATATTTAAACTGTTGCAGAAGTTCAATGAAATTTCTATTGATGTAAACAAAAACAAACTCGGGGGGAGTGCTTCGTTATTGCCAATCGATTCCGTTACAGTTGTTTCTATCATCTCCCCATATCCTGTCCTCTTTGACCCCGAAGTCCTATATCACCTTGATCTCCTTGAGCTCCCACTTCTCCTTGCCGTCCTGGCGCACCTTGAGGTCCGGGTTCTCCAGTTGGACCTTTTTGTCCTTGTGGTCCCACAGGTCCTAATCCTCCTTTCGGTCCTTGTTTTCCCCTCCGTCCATCTCGCCCTGGCTGTCCTGGTGGTCCTACTACCACTGGTGCTGATGGGCAAGCCTGAAAATAGAATCTTACATGTCTGCTATTCAACATTAAATACAAAATTTTTCACGTAATCTATTAGGGAACTTGCCTCGATTAGGGAAACTGCGCAGATGAGCAATATAAAAACACAGGATAGATGCATTATACTGAAAATCTGAAAATTTTCGATTTGTTTTTAAATATTCAGTTTTCTCTTTTAGATATTTA